CAATGTAATAAATTTATCCTCTTTTGCGGGAACTAGAACCATATCATCCATGCAATGTAATAAAATGTATCCTCTTTTGCGGGAACTAGAACCATATCATTTATGAGACTGACATCGATTGAATTTTGAGCCACTGTTGATAGCTTTTCTTTGAGAGAATTCTCGTTTGAGCCAAAGTGACTAGGTTCCGTAAAAGCATGACTATTTTCTTACTGTAACCTTGGCAGCACTGCATATTTTTGGTCTTAAAATGTTCTGTCAATACTACTTATGAAGACATCACTGGCAGGAAATGCGTTGGCAGAGTGCTCGTGATGCGTCATAACATCAGTTATAACCAGGGTTGAGCGTGGGGTCAGGCGCGGCCGACCTGGGATCGTAATGAGGGTAAGACTGAGGGGGGGGGGGGTCGTAATTAAGAGTCGAATTTGTTAAGTTGGGGAGATACTACAAAGGTGAAGAAGAAATGCGTTAGTCCGGTGGATATCGCGATCACATGAAGGAGTGACGGTCACAAACAGCATACTGATTGTTTCCACAATGGAAGTTTCAGCCAAAATTCAAATCTTCATCTCTTTTACATTGACATATGAGGTCGACAAGGAGGCTTGCTGCGTGAAATGGGATCATTTCCATAATCAACATGTCAAATTACCTCTATGCGCTCTACAAAAAATTACCTACTGCAATTTCTAGTGTTTCTCAACGTCTAGAAAGCGTGATTTTCAAACGTGATCAACTTGGTTTCAGAAGTGAGAAAAGTCAGCTTTGTATACTCATAACAAAGTAATGTTCTCTACAAGTCTATGCTACAAATCAGGCTTCATATCGCTCTCAAACAGTAAAGTAAAAAGTGCTGCCAAAATTCTAACCGGCGCGTTTTCACGTTGAGTGCTTCAACTCCTCGGATTAGCACAAGGCCGAAACAACTCGAATCAAGCTCAAACACTCACTGTGGAATCTTCGAGGGTTGAGCTAGCGAATCGCATAAACTTGGGTAGAAAAGCATTTCCGGACATAAAGTTAATTGGGTCAGGCGCAACCCCTCAAAAGGTCAGGCCGCCTGAGCTTTTGAGGGGTTGCGCCTGACCCTCATAAGTTGCCTTCAAAATTCAAAAATCGCCCCTTTTTTAATACGAATATTGAGCGCAAAGCCTCTTCTTGCTATATTGAGAATTTGGAGCCAAACACTCCACCCCTGTGAAAATTATAGCTCTGAAAGGAGGACTATCCAGACCTAAAACTTGCCATCAAATTGCGTGTGGTTGTGCAATCGCAGAAAGTCGGGCCTACAGACTTTCAAAAAATAGAAATCTGCAGTGAAGGCTGGTCTTCTTCAAAATAAACACCGTGAGGACTTAGAGGTGAAGCGGAGGGTCGTTTAGGGGCTTTCACAGGGGGGGGGGGTCGTTTTTGAAGGGCTTGTGCCTGACCTCTTGCTCAACGGTTATAACATACACTAATCAGCTTGAAAATTTGCTCTGTAAGTCATGAAACAACATTTCAAATTACAGCAGCTCAAGAAAGAGTGTTTTTTTTTTCAGTGTATTTACGCAGCGCACTTTCGGCACAGTGCCAACGCTTGCGGTGGCACTGTGAAATCGTTAACACGTTTTTTTTTCAGGACCATACACGAACACCTCATATTACCGTGCCAGGTGCAAGCGCTGACAGCGTTACCTAGGGCACTCATGATCAGGGTCGAGCGTGGGGTGTGGCATGCCACACCTGGGGGGTGGGTCGTATTGAGGAATCAGGGAGGGGGGGGGGGTCGTTATCAAGGCGTCCGCTGTTCGCATAACATGATATTCGTTAACAATGTCAAATAGGCCCGCCATGCAAAATATTAGCACATTGATGTTTGACCCATTATCGCACACGTACAGTAAGCATGATGAAAAGGATCTATAAAGCATAAGAGCATCGTTTTGTAACTACCAAGTAAAATAATCCCAGTGGTCCAAGTTTCAGCGAAGCTTGAAATTCCCAAATACAGGACCACCTAAAAGAGATGGTCGTTTCCAAACATGTTACTTTGTTTTAAAGGTAAGTAAACTACTTCTTTTGCGCTGTGGTGCCACATCCATTAACTATATCAAAAAACAGTTTTAGCGAACGATATTTATGTAAATCGATAGCCTAGACCTCGTAGATTTTGAAGGAATGATTCGAGCCTGATTCGTCTTCTTAGCTCTGAGCAGTATTTGGTGAAAGCACAGCCATTGAAAGCGAAAAATAGGAAAAACAAGATTTTGGTTGGCTTTTAATTCCAAAGTTAGGAGGTCTTTTGAAGCGAGATTTCTGAAACCAGTACATCACCTCTGCTTCGCAGAGGCTCGCACTGGTCTTACTTTATATGCTTTAGTTGTTCTCGCTTAATGATGTCTTTGCAACTCACCGTGCAATGACGACTACCACGAATGAAATGTAAACAACTACTCATTTCAAAGGCTTTGTCATGTGAGATCGGTAATTTCGCGTGGATGGAACTTTTCGCAGAAGAACAAATGCAAATTCGATTAGGTTTTTAACTTCTTTTGGCTTGATAGTTGCCATAAGGATAACAATTACCGTGAGCTACATTTCTGCGCAAAAATCCTCTCAAATGGTCAGGTAAAACCACGGCGGATTGACCATTTGCGCAACCATTTCTTTTTGGCGTCGTTCTGGTAAAGTAGTAGTTCTGGTAAGTAAAGTTCTGGTAAAGTTCTGGTAAGTACCTTTGGTCTTTTTCGCCTAAAGTCCATGTCATGCACATCAACATGCCAAACACAGCCACGACTTTGCAAAAAGCGTTGATACAGATCCAATTTTGCGAGCCAGAAGCCAAGTGGATCCGTCTGACTCGCCAATTCTGATGGATCCACCCAACGAATCCGCTCGTGATTTTGTATGGTGGAGTTTTACCCTGGTAGCATGCGCTGTGCAAAATTTGGGCTCAAGACATTGGCTGGAACTCGCTCTATGAATTTCGTTACAGACAGACAGACAGACACACACACAAAGTCACGTAAACACCCTTAGCCCGTTATTATAAGTTATGATGGTCAAAGAAGGAGTAGTGCTTTCTCCTGAGTGCAAAAACAGCTAGCTACTTCACTTTGAGACAAAGTTAATCATGCTGCAAAATGGCGATTTCACTTAAGTGACCCAGTATCTTGAAACTTCAGAATTCGCTTAAACATTGTCTACAGGGGTTAATTGGCATGCTAATTATGGATATGTTGCCCGTTATGTTTGACAGGGCCTTCTAGTAATGCTATCTTAGGTATATAGTTTGGGGATCTTATTGAGACAGTAACAAGAGGGGGGGGGGTCGTAACCAGCGATCGTGTGCCAACCTCTTGCTTGACCCTGCTCATGATGAAGGTTGAAGTCTGGCTCATGTCTAAGAATAACAGGCATCTGAGTGAACAGTATGATGCAAAGCGCAAAACGCAGCATAGAGTTTGGTCGCAGGGGACACCATGTAATCCCGTTTTCAAAGCAACACATGGCAATTTCTTGAGCAATTTTTTCGGCGAATGCGGTTGGAATCTTGTGCCGGCTAATCAAGCTGCTATGGCAGGCGGTTCAGAAGATCTGTCTTTCCGTGCAAGTTTCAAAAAAATCTTTCAGTTATTTCTTACAAACATCTGCTAGGTTTCATCATAAGACTGCGATAAAGAGAGCGCATCGTGGGGATATTAATGACTTTTTTCTCTGCTCACAGCATGCTTACCTTTTGCTTTGATGCCACTATATAATCCTTGTAAAGTTGCTTTTACAGGTGCATCTGGTAAATCTTGGATAAGTTCTTCGACAAGTGCTCTACTATCAGATGACATGCCCAGCTTGCACTTCAGAGAGTTCACAACAGAAATTACTATTACGATTATGATCAACGTTGTCAAGACTTTGGACATAGTGCCTGGAAAATATAGTTTAGTGAGCTTAATGTTCCACTTCAAAACACATACTCCCGTATGTGAGAATGCCACGGCAATACGCTTACTGAAATGGACCATATTAGAAGTACAATCCCTGTCGAAACTGACGTAAATATTCTATCAAATCCATCATGCTGTTGCCAAAAGATAGTAGAGCGGCTGTATAGCAGCAGATTTTACGACAAGCACTCGTTCTGACAATTAAGACTGCAAAATTTTGCAGTCTTCTAAATTTGCAGTGATTAGTGAGGAGAGTGAAAGGTTTGTGTAGTGCATTTGAAAAATCGTGACGATGGCGCGAACGCGCGCGACACGCACGCCACCTCCGGAATTCGCATTTTCTTGGTTTTCGTCTCTAGTCGAATTGTTTTTTTGCTTACGTACGATAACGTTTAGACACTGGAAGTGACTGAGCTGAGCGTTGAGGTGATGCCTTTTTGTATGAGCGTTTTATGCTCCTGTGGGCGCAAAGTCCGCAGTAAAAGCCGTGGTCACGATTTCATAAATGAACTATAATGACAGTTTGAGCCCAACTTTTAGATAAATTCACCCTTTTGACAACATTTAGCAGTCCTTGTCAGATTCCATTTTCTCCATTTCTCTCTACTTCAAATAACTTTTTTGGTTCCAAGGGTTTGTGAAATGAGTTGAAAGTACTGACAATTTCGCATTTATCTGAGTAGTTTCTGAGCCCAAAGGAAGTATTTGGCAAAACGGCGCGAATAGCATGCGAAGTTTGACGCTTGTGGATGCAAAAAATATAGACATTTTGACCATTCTCAAATATAGCCATTGCAAAGGTTATGATTTTTACAAGGAAATCAACATCAACGAATTGAGCCTGCATACCCATGAAACTTTCTTCGAAGCAGTTTTAAGAAAAGCAGAATGTGTATAGAAAATTACAAATCTTTTCCTCCCTTCCATTCGCAAAGATTTATCAGTATGCAGTAGAAAGAACAGTACACATTAATTTTGAATGCACCTTTTAATAAGTTTTCAGCTATATTCAGGCAAATGCAGCGGAGTATGACTAGATCACTATTACAGATGACAAAAATTTCTTTACGTCTAGATAAACTTGTTAAAAATCATTTCGAAGTGCTTTGGTTTTCTGAAAATGCCGTCCTTGTTCAACTCTTCCACAATTGGTGGTCCATCGACACATTTTAAGGTATATCGAAGCAAGATGTTTCCGATGACCTGGAAATATTGAAAATTGTGATTGCTGAAATTGATTACTGTGCCATGAGTATCACCAGATATAGCTCAGCTCTTGCCAGCGCTTCTGCAATGCATGATCTCTTGCCGAGTCCAAATGCAATCACAGCTGAAGTCAGCGAAGGATCAGAGATGTATCTAGACGGATCGAACTAAATTTTAATTATGAAAAAATTCTGAAGGGTCAAGATTGTAAGGAATCTTACCACATCGGGATTTGGAAACTTGTTCTCATCGCTAAGAACCAACGACAGTTCGATTGTAACCACTGTGTCCTTTGGAACGGGATGACCGCCAATTTCCGTGTCTGAGTCAGTTTTTCGAAAGAGATTCATATTCAAGACAGAAGCCAAGCGCAGGATTTCCTTTAACATAGGTTTCACAGGACATTTCAAAAAAGAAAAATTGGGTTTCTCACAGTAATGGAGGCTAGGAGATATGGTGTTTGAGGTTTGTCTGTAAGAGAAAGTGGTCTTGAACCTCCAGTTGCTCTCTGCACTTCTTTTCGTATACTAGTCGCCACCTATAACAAAATTTATGTTGCTTGATTAACAGTAAGGCAATATTATCTCATATGAAGCAGCTTGCACTGCTACACACTGGTGACACTCTGGTGAGTAACACTCCCTCTACCCACAAACTCTCTACTTTCACTTGGAACGAATCGAGTGGGCTAGCGGGAGGAGGTATTTGACGGCCGAGATTGTGAATCAAAGTGACTGATACCTTTTAGCCTCCGACGACGGCGTGTAGCCGAAACGTAAGGCAATAAAGTGTTACCAATAACAACCTGTATACGGCAGAAGAAAAATCATTGAAGTGAGGCAATAATTTCCTTCTGAACAGACATAGTGCAAAGTTAAATCATAATTTGATTTATATTCTTTATTTGCATATCAGCACTGACTGTGGACATTTTGTGCGTGATGCAAAGGTCGAACAAAAATGAGGGCATCTTTGACTTTTTGAAAATCTAGACAACAAGTTTGAAAAGGCTCATGTGGTAAAGTAACATTCAAATTGGGCATCAAAACTTGTAGAAATGTTGTAGTGGCTTGGGAGCTTTTTTCGTTTTCAGAACCGATTTCATTGCATCGTCGCACCTTCCAGTGCAGTTAGACAAAAATTAAGCAAAATTTCTACATATCAAAAAATTATCAAATATGAAAAAGTATCTGGTTCTGACGACTTATAAGCAAATTAAGTACCTCATTTTGACCACATATTGGAAAGGTCGGTAGAGTTCCCGCCAAATTTTATACAGTTTTGAAAAGGTAGATTTGTTACATTTTGAGATCTTTAACCCATTGACGACGATATGGGCCACCGGTGGCCCACACCTCTTGCAAAGTCATATTCTTTGTAGGTCTTTTCCACATGTTGGTATTTTTTCCAATTTATTGCACTCTTCGAACTTGTAGGCTTCGTCGTTCATGAAGATGTTTATAGTCGTTTACGAAACAACCTTGCATGTCGCAAATAACCACAAAACTCGTCCCAAAGCGCTGCCATGCAAAATTAGGCGTCGTCGTCAATGGGTTGGAAATCTATACTGTTGACGTTCTTTTTAATTCTCGAAAAATGTGGAATGGGATACGTAACCGAAGGCATACCTTCGATACATAGAGCCATGTACTCTGGTAACCTTCACTTTGAGCGTCATGATAGAACACAACCTTCACCTGGGGAGAAGTACAGAAGTCATCCGGGGCGAAGCCCCGGAAATTATGACATAACTAATGACATAACCATATAGGGATGAATTTCAATGAGGCAAATATAGCAGTGACATTCAAAAGAAGCTAAAAACCGAAGGATTGCGTTTTTATGGCCTTTTTTGTTGAGAAGAAGGTTTTTACTTAAAAATTCAATCAAAAACTAGGGCAAAATTTCTCAATTAACCTCTCTCTGGACTGCGGTTGAATGTTGGAAGTTCATTAAAGCCGCTAGAGTTCAATAAAAACGAAAAACTGCTCTCAAATCTTGCGCAAAGAGTCGCCATATGAATGCTGGTCTATCTCGTTATGGAGTGATTTTCAAGACCCGCGACGTTGTCAGTGCTCCTGGCCGTCTCATGAGGATCACAACGATATATAATGTTGCAGGGTTTCGTTGAGACCCTGCGAAGATCCACCGCCAAATGCCCCGTCGGCTCTGGTCTGTCTCCGCTGCTCGTCTGCGTCTCCGCGCGCTGCGCGCTACCTCGCTACCTCAAATGCGGGGCGCGGGGCATTTGGCTCTGGTACCCATTTCTTCGTTGTTCGGAGCCCAATTTCGATAATCTATATATCATATTAAAGCTCTTGATCTCTATTTTCACGCTGACAACGTCGCGGAACTTCTTTTTAGGATTCAAACGAGAAATCCTCGAAAAACGGCGTTTTCGAAAAACTCTTGTTTTTTCTTCAATTTAACTTTTTTCACTCGGTTTTTTTGTGTATTCGATAGGTCTTGTTTCTGTCTATGATGTAGACAACGTCGCCGAGCTTACTTCTTTGCTTATGCCGGTTCTTTTTGTAAAAAATACAAAAAAAGTGCGTTTTTCTTTACCTTGTTCTCTTTCTGTGCTTTTGCAGCGAATTTTTTCCAGCTTGGACGATACTTGCTCAGAATGATGAGCGGAAGAATCCAGACAACGTCGCAGCGTACGAAACGACTATGCGGGGGTGAAAATTCAAAGGACGCATCAAAAATCAGATTGGCGTCCATGTGCAACACAGCTTTACAGACATGTTTAACATGTTCAATTCAGTTGTTGACAAGTTCTTCTTCTTTCGGTCTCCCAACTAACGCCACAGCTAAACAGCGTTTTTTTTTGACTGGAAAAGAACTTTGTTGTTGTTGCCACCCAATTTAACCAGCAATCCTGGAGACGAAACTCTACGTAGGAAACCACCAAGTTAAGGTTTCAGATTTGGTGATGTGCTAACCTCTGCTTTATATGAATTTTCTAAGTTTTCTAATTTAATTTGTATCTGTAAATTTTCGTCTATTTTTCTGAAACAATCTTCACTTTTTATAGGGGGCAAGAACTCAAACAACTATCACTTTCTAGCCTCTGTCTCTCGACTATCGAAGGTATGACCGAAGGTATTTTTCATTATACCCTTCTGTACAAATTTTTGTGCATGCTGCATCCACTCAATTTATTTTGTCCACGGAGGATTATTCTAAACCCACTTGCGGATTTCTTAGTAGAAAAATCATTGCCCAACATACAACCGACGATGTTGTTTCCTGCCCAGCTACCCATAGATCCATAATGCTGATAGCGAGTGATTCTTCACTGCAATGAAAAACGGTCAATACCAAAATTTTCGGTAGTCACATAGAGTAAAAAATGTGGTTGTCTGAGCTACTGAATGAATGCAAAATGAATTGTGGTTCCCAAATGATGCCAATCTATCATAACCCACTCGAATGAGCTATCTTTTATTCCTTCTTTAGCGTTTTCGTCTATCTTTTGTAAGAAAGCATCGGTATAGTCTTTGGGTTCAGCATCTATCACATGACTCCCATCTTCCACGGCACGTCTTCTGTAAGATATCGTCATTTAAGGCACGTTGATTTTAGGGTCGTTAGGCGGATGCTATTAGCACTGAAATTTGAGACAAATATAGCTGACCTTTCTGCAACCTGCATTCTGATAAACTCTTCCATTTTGTGCATCGGCTCAAGCATTTTTGTCCATCTCGAGCTGAGAATAGGTATTTTAAGCATCCACGATTTAATAAATGTGTAGTCGAAGGGTAGCTGCTCAAAAAATCGATCCACGTCTTTCCGATATTTGTAAAATTTCATCTCTTCCTCCTGAAAGGGGAATTTATCACGAAGATGGTCAGAAAGAATTTGATTACTTACTCCGTTAATAGGAGTTGAGAAAAGTATACGATTGATGATTCCACCAATAAGACGATCGAACAGGTGGAATGGATCGACTGGTGTATCCGATGGCAAATGGTCGATTTCCTCGAACCTGAAAAATCGCTCGATGTCAAAATTCCGCTTTACAAAAAGGATAGCATTCAGATTTTCTGCCCAAGGGGAAGTGCCAAAATGTTTTCCTCAAATTTCCCCCTCCCTTCTCTCCGTCATCCCTCTTTTTGGAAGGCAATCCTTTTTGTATGAAGAACAAACCTCAGATTAAACTCGTCCATAATTCGCTCTTCTATAAGATTGCGACTGACTCCAAGATTTCTCAACACATATGACGAATGACGTCTCTGCTCCTTCCAAGTCATACCACTAGAGACAAGCAGACCGCGATTACCTAAACCAACATATTTTATGGTTGAAAATTTCAAGCTGGATGGATACTTCTTGACCAGTAAGTTCCTCAAAGTTCATCTTTGCATTACGGTAACAGTCTTAGCCGATAATAGTAATTATTTATTGATTTATCTTATTCATCATAAAATGGATCGTATATGCGATAAACCACCTCACAATTGAAATGATAAGCAGACAATCATGAATGTACAACCGGATGGGAGAGGAAGGCAAAAAGAATCAAATCTTATGGAGTTTTAAAATATTATTGGGAAAAATCGATAATGCTTTAAATACTGCTGATGTACACTTTGATTCAACTGACTTGGCGGCTGGAAGGCGAGGCTTCCTGACCTAATAAGGCTAGGTAGTGATCAGAGAGCACGCGCGCGGGAGGGACGGACACTGTATCGCGGGCGCGAGCGGCCTTAATTGGGTCTCGAAGCCTCGCCTACCAGCCGCCAAGCCAGTTGAAACAAAGGTTAAGTCATAAATGACAAATAGTAACTTTCAGTTTGCACATTTTCCTTGCTTCCTCTCTTTCTCTTCTCTGCATTTGTTCAATCTGAACACAAGATGACCAACCTCTCCTGTCATACATTATAGCTGGACTCCAGCGATCCTCGTATTTGGCACCGCTGCGGACCATCGCTTCATGACCCAGTGCATAGTTAGCGATATGCACTGTGGCTATAGGTCCCAACCATACTGTGAATACTGGACCGTAAATCTAAAGAGAATAAAGTGAGCAGTATCAGTTACGTCCCAAATAGGTTAGAAAAGGATAGATACCTCTTTTAAGCGCTTGAAAGCTGGTACAATACCTCCGTATCTCCGTGAATAAAATGCGAGTTGTGGAAGATTACCAAGGAACAGCACAGGAAAGGGACCTGAGTAAGTCTTTATCAGACTAGGGAATCAATCATATCGACAAGAAAGCACCTGGAGGTAGTCGAGTAGTTTTTCGCCATAAATCAGCGAGATAAAAGACCACGATCAATGTTAACAGAATTCCCAACATGGCGATTCTTAGGGTTCCTGCAGAATTCGGGAATGAGCATGATTTTTCGAAAAATAAAGCCTATTGAAGTTTGCCGAGGCATTTCAACAGACACCAATCATCAATGCATGCTCTATCCTATGGTATATCTAAAAGCGGAAAAAGTAGATATTTTTGTAAGTCGCAATGAATGCGTTCTTGCTTCGAAAGTTTTGCTTTGGCATAGCTGCCTTCGTACCTATGCTAGAATTTATATATCTTGTTGTCATTAGTGTCTTTTGAACAATCGGTACAATCGGTAATGTGCTTAAGAGTTTCAAAAATAACAATCTTTGGTGAATCCGAGTTCCAAATTGTATTGCTTCCTTCTTATGCAGTGATTAGCGATAACGGGCATCATACGCATTCCAGAAAACTTCAAATTACATAATTACATAACATAATTACATAATTCCTTTTGGCCGGGCATACTTCACGCGATTTCAGTCGACGAGATTTGGCAATTCGCCAGAAGTCTTCAGATCCAACATTAGCAAGCAGCACATGCAGTGTGTATAGCTTTCATGGATTGATGAAATGCCCTATCTTCTGCACATCTAAAATATGCTTACAGTAAGTTGTGAACAGTTGGAATATTTCCAATTTATGCCCCATCACTTGTTGCTATGCTAAATCGCCTGTAGAACAAATAAGGGCTTTTCTCCTATGACCACTAATCGAGTAGTAAGCCCATTTAACGTTATAGTCATAGCGCGCTTAATTAGGCTCATTATCTTCTTGCTTATGCTGGTTTTACCCAAGTATTTTCCTGAGCCTATGTGGAATTTCCATTCGAAAATTTTTTTCGAGCATACTGTAATTTGGTACTTGGTGCAAGCGCACTCTTGAACAGAACAACAATGAATATTTTATCAGAGTTTGAGAACCTCGTGAAGAGCAAGAAAATGGCTCTTCTTGGGGCAGGGCAACAAAATATAACCGAGAGACTTTTTGGAACAATCCAATATTACTTTGATGCAAATCTTGCACCAAACAAGTCAAAACCGTAAAAAGTCTATTTCTCTTGAATTCTAGATAATTTTGGGGTACAGTTCCAAAGAGGCAAGTATTTACAAGATAAAACATATTTGAATATTTACAGTGAGTTTAATCCACGCAGTATTTGAAGCTATAAACTGAATCTAAGTGTCTAAAAACCAAGAAGAAATCATAACTTGGCTTCAAAAATCCTGCAAATCTCCTACTCGTTGCGCATATACATTCCATATCAGACATTCATACATAAAGTTGATGCGATTTTCTTTTGGTGAGAGAAAAAATTGAAATTGAGAAAAAAACTTCATGGTTTCGCAAAAGTAATGCTGAAGTTTCTCACATCAGTGTGTACTACAAGCCTTTGGAAGCACAACAGCAAAACTTTCATCTTCCAAGAAGAACAAAAAGAGAACTACAAGAGCTAATTTTCAAGAAATATCAAACACAGTGATAGAGAAACCGATAGGGAAAGCTAGATTTGATATATTAGGTCGGTACGAAAGTTCGTACTGTTTTTCAGATTGATACTCAAGCCGCAATAACGATGGACCTAAAAAGTGTCTCATGCAGGATTTCTTCCTCTTTTTAATGGCTATGTTTTCTCAGATTCCTTCAATTTCGCTCGAATAATCGTCACAGTCTCCAACCCAAGGTTTTTACCAATATTGAGTTTGGCTATCTTTCAAAATTTTCATTTTCTACTTTTGGACTAGCTTTGATAACAGTTGCACAGAATAAATTACAATGAACTATGCTGGCCTTCTCTACTAACTTTTTAGCGTTTCTCAAAATAATTTTTCCAGAGGCCTTTATTTTTGCGAAGTCGTGAAATGCACAACCGCCTCACACACTGGTAAATCTCCGGGTTTTGAATAGTAAATATTGATATGATGGGTTCTTTACGCCTGTTTCGCCTCTACCCCTATACAGGTTACTATAGTGTTAACCACTCCCGAGGCTCGTCAGTAGGGAAGAGTGGTGCACTGGGACAGATTGGTTCAAGGGGGGTATTTATACATGAGGGGTAGAGCAAATAGATCAAAAAAGTCAAAAAAATCAGCTGAGTTGCATTTTTGTGAGCATTTTAGTAACAAAGGTTTTAGTGGTTTTGAAGGATTGTAGTTGCAAATACTTGTATGATATGTATTTATTTTTATTCAAACATTTGATCATGGCATTAGAAATGATGTTGGGAGTGTACTGTAGTGTTAAAAGTTGATCTATAAGTAATTCTAGTCTTTCAACAAAGTTTTCAAATTTAGTACAAGTCCTATAAATTCTCAAAATCTCACTGTAAATAATTGCAATTTTGACATTCTGACTGATATGTGATCCTGAATGAGTAAATTTGTTAACTTTGAAGTTGAAGCTGTCCGTTTTGTTATATTGAGTTGTGATAATTCTGCTTTCAACTATACTTATTTTTAAATCCAGAAAATCACATTCGAAATTGCTACGGTTGGTGCTTTTCAGTTCGAGAATATTTTTATAAGTAATTTGTAATATTGCTTGTATTTGTGATTGCTCCATGTTGTGTATGATCAATAAATCATCCATGTACCTAAAAGGTATGAAAAGTTTATGAGATTTTTTATGAGTAGAAGCACAAGAATATTCCATATATGACAAAGTCAAATCTGCTAAAATTGGGCTAACACTGCTTCCTTGTGGGACACCCATTTTTTGTTTGAAAATGTGGTGTCCGACTTTACAGTAGCTGTTTTCTAGGAGGAATTGAGTGAGATACATTATATCTTCTATTTTATAATTTCTAAAATTAGTTCCATTCAGAGGTGTATTAGAGTAATGTAAACTTTTGTTTTTGCTAACAATGTACCTACTATTACTATTCTTAAAACATATTTTGAGTATAGCGTTTATGTTTTTTAAGATAACATCATGTGGAATATTAGTAAACATGTTTGTGAAGTCTGCGGAATAGAGTTGCAAATTAGTGTCTACTATGTTACTAAGAATGTATGAGATATTTATGTCATTGATGGACCAGTACGTTGGTAAGCAATTTTTGTTATTGTATACTATATTTATATAATTTTTAAAATGAAGCTTGCAAAAACTTATCACTTAACGATGATTTTAGCAAGCAACTGAGTGCTTGGTCGAAATATTAGATTCCAAATTTTCCAGGTATAGCCTGGAACGATTTTGGAAACAAGAATGATGATGATTTGATGATTTGTCCTCATATATTACGCAAAATAGGAAAGAGTGAAGTCCTTCAGAAAGAGGAGAAAAGGCTGCATCGAGTGACACTGGTTGCTCGTTTTTTATTGTTGTAGGATTGGGAGGCCCAAGTTTGAAGTTTGATAGCATCGGAAAAATATCATCAAAAATAGAAGGAAGCTAGACATGCCAAAAAAACTGCATTGTTTTGCTTATTTTATCCAACTATTGTGAAAGCTAGTTCAAAAGATGAGAATGAAAAATCTAAAAAATAGCCAGACTCAAGATGGGTAAAAACCAAGGATTGTAGACTTTGACGATTATTCGAACGGATACCATAGGAATCTAAACAAAAACATAACTGCTGAAAAAAAAGAAAAAATCTGCATCGAACGCTGGTCAAAGCATTTGTTTATTATTATTTTAGGTGGTTTGAGCACGGGCTTGAAAACGGCACGAACTTTCGGATCGACCTAATATTTTCGTCTTGTAAAAGGCTGAAAAAAAATTGTGAACTGTTAACTGCACATTTAGACATGATAATCGCATTCGCGTTATCAAAGGAAAAACATACAGGCACCTATGTCAGACATAACAAACTGATTTGTTGATACATAGCTTCCTGTTTATGATTAGTTCGCATTCGCCTGTGGTATCATTGTCATCATTTTTGGCGAATGAAATAAAGAGCAACTTTGGTCTTCAAAACTCGGATGGGACAGTAATAAAATTCTATGCACTTCTCAAAACTGAATGTTTTTACCTGCTAGTCAAGATTCTTACACAAAAGAGCATACGTTGCTTGAAAGTAAAAAAAAAGTCTTTCGATGACATACAAATATCTTTTACCTTACTTTAGATCAGCAATTTGCCTTTTCTTTCATTCATTTGTTAAAAACAGCCTTCGGGCACAAACATGAGAGTGGAAATTTGGTTGAAATCTCGTGATGTGATGGTCTAATGTGGTAACCTCACGTTATTGCAACTTAGTCAGCGATAGAATTCTGGTAAAATATACAAAAATACGAGTTGAAACCATACTAAACCCATTTGTGACAAAGTTCTTAAGTCTGTAACTTTCAACTAAATTACTACCGCTCCTAGTTTTCGCCTGTTGTCTTATTCGCTGAATTAAGAAATCCAGGTCGCAAAGAGCAAAAAGGGCGAAAACAGGGTTTTCCCAAAGCCTTATACCCGAATTTGGACGAGTGAATCAGTTTGAGGTGTGACACACAGTCGGTGTGGAACGCCGTAATCTTATCCTTGGCTGCATGCACTTTATCGCAGAACAGGAAATCCACAGGGGGGGGGAGGGGAGGCGCTTCCTTTCGATAGGTAAATCTTCCAACTTCCCGAGCGGATGTTTTGTATCTGGTCTAATGTTATGATCTCGCGCTTATGCGACGTGTTCGAGGGCGTGCTTTCATATGACACTAGAATCCCAACCCTCAGCCTTGCCCGGACTTTGCTTTCAGACTGTTTCGGCAGAATCAAGCATCTCAAAAATCTTTATTACTTGGGGTTAGCCGTTTTGCTGGTACCGAAAACCACCTCAAACCTAACAAAGATAACGACCTTTTTTTTCAAGGCCCATTTTGAGTTTAGGCGAATGGAATTGTTTTCGCCTAGACTGAAAACAAACCGTTGGGGGATCCTTGTGTTAGACGAATGGACGAGCGCACGAAGACCCATCTTCCCGGATACATAGAGCAGAAAACCACTCATTTCTCAACCCTGCTTCGAGTTCGAATTTCTACTGATGAAAAAGGGAAGCGGGGTAGAGGAATAAGGCCAAAATGAAAGGAATCTGGAACAAAAACCGTTGAAAACGGTCAAAATTCTCCAACTCCCGCCGTTCAAAACGCGCGGTGGCGGTTGCAGCGCATGCAGTACAGTTCCGAAACAGTTTCAGCACAGTGCGGGAACTATGCGGGAACAGTTCCGGAACATGGGAATCAGTATGAACCCAGCCTGAGAGGGAAAACCGCTAGCTCGTCCCAGTGCAGAGAAAACTGGTTTGCGCGCACAGGTTTTAGGCAAATTTTCGCGGCAAGGGGCATGTTGTGCGGTTAGGCCTGCTTATTTTGATATTTGGGGGTGGTGCAAGCACTACAACATCAGATCAACTTGTTCATTTCTGGCGACCCTGCCTTAAACAGCCTGACTATTCTCATCTTTTACAGCATGTTCAATAGGTCCGGTTGGGAGAGTATCTGCTAGTAATTGAATATTCAGTTACCGTTCTAAAAGTGCGCCAGTTGCTTAACCATATCCATATGTTGAGAGTCATAGAGCAAAACAACAATCAAAAAAGGTTGCACTTTCCTATCGTCAGCATGTAATCCTTTAAGTCTCAGCTATATGTTTACATCTTGTATAGTGCATAATGTGCGCGCTGAAATTACGTCCAGCTGAAGATAACTGCCGTTTAAGTATTTTGACAGAAACGAAAGGTGGGATATGCGGTATCTTACCAATGCGTAGTACTGTGTGATTTTAACGATGCGCAGCTCGTTGAGAATGGCTACTTTGACTCCTGACCATCCTCTGGTGAGCATATGTTAATACACCACTTAGGGACAGCCACATCGTCCCAAACATGCTCCTTCTCAGACAATCGACCGGACCCCTCCGCCGGACAGTCGGAATCTGCCAGAGTAGCGCCGGACCCAGTTGACCAATGAGAGCGGGGCGATTGAGCGGTCCCTTCTTGTAGGTCGCGGTGACATCACTGGCAGGCAAGTGGGACCCTTCTCCGGCTCTGCTGCAAAGGTACACCATTTCTGCTCCGGAGGTACGCCAGATTTGGCAGAGCCGCGCCGGAGAAATTTGCCCGCCGCGAGTCCGCCAGATTTGGACGAGCCGCACCGGAGAAAATCGGAGGGGTCCGTAGCACAAATGGGAGGTTTCCGGAGCACAAATGGGAGGGCTCCGGAGCACAAAATGGGAGGGCTCCGGAGCAGAAATGGGAGGTCTCCGGAGCAGAAATGGGAGGGCCCCGCACAAATTGGAGGGCTCCGGAGCAGGCTGCGTATCGATTTGGCGCGTAGCCAAGCAAACGTCTAACTCCACGGTGATGAGTCCTCTGTTTACGCTCTTTCTCCATATTTTATTCGTTGTTTCTTTGATTTTGTTGTTTTTCCGCGTCTCTTTACCGTCTTTTTTCTTTTCCGCGTTGTTCTTCGTCGCGTTGGCGTTTATGTTGTTGTAAGTTCCTCGTTTTCAGGTTTATGTTTCAAATTTTCGTGCGGATGCACTCAATCACTTTCAGCGTTTGGCTCTTTTCGACTTGCTGAGACATCGTTGACTTTTGATGGAGTGGTTTTTGTGATTAATTTGAGCTCGTTCCGAACATATCTGTGGCTTATCGGGCAGATGCATGCTAAGGTAAGCGTTGGGGCTTCTAGGCAACTTTATATCTAATATCTACCGGACATAACATCTGAATCAAAGTCCTGTGAGCCACTTATCGAAGTGTATTTTCAGCGATTTCTTGTTCTCGCTCATCTCTTGTTTCACTGATTGCCTTTCTCTTTCACTGATTGCCTTAATTAGAGGCACTGGTGTCGTAATGTCGTTCTGCTCGACCGCGATGACGAAAGTTTCAAAATTTCAAGAATTAGCAGTTTCAAGAATTTTCTTGCAATTCTCAAAGCGACGCATCTTCATGCAGAATATTGCAAGAGACATGTTGAGACATTCGCTGATTTGGAAAAAGTTGTAAACTTTGCTTGGAAACGGCCAAAAGCGAATGAGTGTAAAATTGCACCAAATATTTTGTGTATAGACATTCAAGTTTTCCTTACGACTTTTTTTGAGAATCGTTGTGTTTCTCAATAGACGATTCATTGCACGCAAAGGCTGGACGCCGTTGCGTCATAGGAGAGAGTGTGCTGCGGAGAGGCAGTAAACGGCTAAGAGGGCGAAAGTGTGTTTAATCTGAGAGACGCCTACAGGGTCCGCAGTGGCAATCTATCTCTGCCTGCGATTCGCCTATATATAATGTAATGGCTTTTTTCAGTCAAGTTCGTTTAGGTGTCCGAGTCTTTGAGAGCTGTCGGAGTTAACCAATCGAATACTTTACTCACAGCTTCTCATCACTACCTGCTGCAGAATCCCAGCGTGATTTATAGGTTATCTTAAGGAGGCTTGTTCGTGCCTGTGCTGATCGTTATTTTGAATTTAGCTCTCAGCATCAAATAAGGCTCTTGTTCTGGAAGCTATCAACAATGTAGTATCGGATACGAAAATTGTCCAAACTGGATGAACAACTAGTTCATTTGATGATAAATCTTGCCGCGCGGGAAATGACAATGACCAGCAAGGTAAGGTTTTTTCACTCCAGTCTTTCTCTTCTCAAGATTCTCTTTTATGGGTGACCTCTAGCTTCATATAGTCAATGTTTTAGTATTGCCGATCAGCGCCAATTCGATTTTCTTTTGTCCTCTCGATAAAAAACGAGTTGACAAGGTGTTATTTATGCATCCTAGTAGGTTCCTGGTCTCGTCTATTCAGGAAACGGAATCTTTGATAGGAAATTGATGACTTTTGCACTGACATTTGTGTTCAGAATCGACTGTTATCGAAAACTCTTCCTTGGAATCGTAGCATTGCCATCTATATTCTTGTTCTTCTTCTTCTTCTTATTCACCTCAAAAAATATATCATATCGCATATCATCCAATCGCATAAGTGTACAATGTTGCTTTTATGTTTCACTGCTTCTATATTCTCTCGCTGCATCTCAATGGCTCCCAAATTCTTTTTGAGGCTCAACTCAAAAAAAAATTGCAGGAATTTGATGGCGAGAGAATACAAAGGCAGTGCTGAACTTGCAGAAGATCCAACAGATGCACCTCCGTCATCAGAAATGTCTAAAATGTCAAAAATGTCAGAAATGTCTGACAAAAGGTTTTGCGCTGTTTTTCTAAGCAGTCTAACTCACTACACTTACATCGCTTATGTTTTCGCTTAGGGTACGGCCATAGGCGGCAACTGTTGTCTTTGTCCGTTTTGTAGCTGCTAAGTTTTGTTTTGCAATTTGCAGGAGATTGTTTGCAGTTAATTTGAAACAAATGTCTTGTTTCTTCATTCTTCTATCTTCTATCCACAAACGCGAGAGAGGGAGGGTGTAGAGTACGGGGGTGAGGGTCGCGCTGAACTCCTACCCGGGGGGGGGGGATCCTATTCGGCTAATTTGGGTGGGGTTTAGAGACAAAATTGGGGTTTGGAGCTTAATTAGGGCTAATTACAGTATGCCGCGGCAGGCTTGCGGAGCACAAAATCGGGGGCTCCGGCGCACAAAATCGGGGGGCCGGAGCACAAAATGGGAGGGCTCCGGAGCAGAAATGGGAGGTCTCCGGAGCAGAAATGGGAGGGCTCCGGAGCAGAAATGGGAGGTCTCCGGAGCAGAAATGGGAGGGCCCCGGCGGACGAGTGGCAGACCCACCGCTGGGGAAACCCCGCGGCCCTGCCATTTCTCCGCCGGAGGGGTCCTATCCGCTGTCTGAGTTGTACTTGTCTCGTATTTTTGTGTGGCTCTTGCTCTGGAGCTGTTCATAACAGCTTCATTTGATTGTCGATGCCTCAGTATAGTAGTCATAGACTTTTTGTAGCACTGTACTTTGTTCGGTTTTTTAGACACCATGAAGTTTTTCCCATTTTGGGAAAGAATTGAAAATGAAATAGCTGAGAAAATGCAAGTTTTACATTAGATATTTATTGGGCCTGCATTTTTAAGGGGTTCTATTAAGGTTAAAGCGAAAGAAGGTGAGTTTGCTAGTGTCAGTTTTAAATTGTACAAAAGTAGTGAATGACTTTGAAGTTGTAAATTGATGGACTATTGATTGTAAGTTTAATGCAACACTGTATCAACGACGTCTTCTCGAGGAGTCTCCATTTGCCCTTCGCATCGAAGTTCCCTTGAATCAGAGCTATGAGTAAAAAATGTAATGAATTTGCATTGAATCATACCCTTCTCTGGTCTGTTCTGGGCTGTTTTCGCATATCCATTCTGCTCTATAAATGCGATTGATATTGTTGTGCAATGAGATTCAATGTAATTACCTTTCTTGCCGGTAAATCTTTCCTAAGCAATCTATCTGGTACAGGCTTACACGGAACTGGAGGAGCCTTGTTGACAGATTCTCCAGGAACTCTGAAGCTTTTCATAAGGCGTATAATATTCGTGAAAGCTGCAGTAATTATATATGACATGACCGTTTTACGAACGTATGAAAAACAACTAAACAACAAAGCAGTTCGGTACGAGAATCATTGGAAGAAATGGGTAACTTACACATGTCTGATGTATTTTTTCAAAATCCAAGCTACATCTTTCATAACAGGTCGAGAATGAGGTTTTGCGCACCAGCATGCTGCGACGATAATTCGAATATCTTCTGGCAAGTCTCTTGACAGTGCTGGACGAAATCTTGGCTCTCGTATCTACAAAGTAGTGTGTGAGGGTGAAGATAATTGCAGAAGCAGATTATTACCCGTTGTCGCACAGTTCTGTTTGAGTATTCTTCAAAGGGCATTTTGGCATTGTTAAATATTTCCCACACAAGTATACCATAAGAATAAACGTCGCATTCGCGTGTGTAAACACCAGTAGCTATAACCTCTGGTGCTTGCCTGTAAAAAAATATTAATTTAATGATTCTCCAAAATTAGAATCAGTACCATTTTACTGGTATTCTTTCATATCCTTGTATCTGATATCTATCTGCTTGCTTTGACAGTCCAAAGTCAGATATCTTTACTATGTTTTTCTGTGTGTCAACCAAGCAATTTCTACAGGCCAAATCCCTTTTACAGTGAAACTATTTAATTTTGGTGTAATCATAATTGTGAAATACCTATGCATGCATCGTTTGTTGTGGAGATAATATAATCCTAGGGAAACATCAAATGCGTAAGAGCAGCGATCAGGGATGCTTACCTAAACATGTCTGCCATTTGAACAGACTCAAATGATAGAATAAATTTCTCTTGTGCATCGCTCAAAGATACTGCTGTTTTTGAGGAAAACACAGTTTTTCAACACCATAATGAAAATGAATCAAATATTTAAACGCTACTATTGTAAACATTTTCGGGACTAGCATATTGTGAGATTGGCTTTATCTTGTTAGATTTACATCAGAATATGTACCGCTTATTCATACTGTGAGTTACGGTAAAAACTTTTAGCGCGATGACATCTTGCAAATCAGCTGCCAATTTATAAAATTTCCGGAACGTATGAAAACTCTTTAGAGGATTTGTCGCGTCGATTCTAGTAAATACCTTCTTACATAACTTTAGAGCGATTTAAATGATATAATCAAGTTTCTGGTAGTTGTTGGCAAAACCGCTGTAACGGTCCTAAGGTCGTCGTGTGCTAGAATTTGCAAGCAAAATCATATATGAAATTAATAATGCTTATCAACCATGCAACAGATTTTCGGACAACTTCGAAAGCGTCATTCTTTGGCGTAATCCTTTCTCGAAATTCAATGTAATCTACAGTAATGAAGGACATCGGTGATCTTTTGATTACAAATCTAAGGAATGATACAAACATAAGTTGGTGATTGAAGACAACATGCACATTATTAGACGCGTCTTCAACCGATGATTCCAAATCTGCGTTCTTTTGCGGAACAACTTTTCAAAAAAGTTAGAGCGTTCGAATGCCCAAATTTGTCAAGCTTTGAGTGACCTAAAATTAGCAGAAAGCTGTACAAAAACATCTGAAAATCGGTAATCAATTTTGTATCAAGTATATTGTCTGCAAGGGAGAGACAAAGCCGATGGAAATCCACATAGGTGTTTTTAGAACTTTTCGCTAATTTTAAGCTATCGATGCTTGACAAATATGGACATGCAAACGCTCACAACTTCTTTAGAAAGTCGCACGCATACAGTTCTCTCCGACTATGAAGTAGTGTGCCTCTGGCGCATGTTCACAGAGGGTATTAAAGACGCCGAATTCTTTGTACTTTTTTATAAAAGGGAATGAAAGACGTTATTTTGAAGTATGGGAATGATAAAATATAATTCTGAAGCAACTAGCCATATTCTCGCGTCCAAATACACTCACGTTCGTCCTTTTTAGGTGATGGTCCAAACCTCCTCCTACTACAAATTCCATAACAATCATCACATTATCATTTTCTATTACCATTCCGTAGAAAGCGACAATATTTCTAGACATTATTTGATGTTTTGATTTAAGTCTGACTTGCATGCATTGCTTACAAATGCTTGTATTGTCTCATTAACCTGGCTTCTTTGTGCATCTCCTCCATCATGGCTTTATTCTCTTCTTTCACTTTAGTCTAAGAACATATGATCAGGCAAAATACGATGCACTAAAATTTACTTTCATAATCTACTCACTACTTTGACAGCGACCGAAATTTTCTTGTGGAACTGTCTGAGGATACCTCTCCATACTTCTCCAAAAGCTCCCTCGCCTATTTTCTGTATCAACTGTATCTTATCCTTTGACAACTCCCAGGCTTGTTTCGGTATCGGCTTTGTCAGAAATACATCGCTGGATACAGGAATTCCCTCATGGAAGTGCTTTCTGTGAAGGTGTGATTACTCTTGCGCAATTTTACACAACTTTATATCCACATGTTGCCGGTTCATGTTACATATGAACCTGCGATTACATAGTATGCGGCTAACAAGAACTTTTGGCCAAACATCGATTCCCATCCTTTCTTAGGTGGGCAACGCCGAATATTGTATTTCGAAGGCTTCAACAGGAGAAGACAACAAGACCTTTGTTAGTCATGCAGTCATGCTTCTATCTGCCAGACAGCCGTCCTCAACGCTACGCTTACTTAAAAAGCGGTTGCCAAGCACCGTTAGTTACCCTGGAGCTTGATTGTGTTTTAGGCATACGTTTAGATCAACCTATTGCCCTCCACGCTGCCTTTCTTCTAGGAGGTGAAAGGTGCTATATAATTCAAAGGAGAAAAGGACGATTTGTGACCTTTCCAAAATTCTTTGTTGTTCTGTGTAACTGAAACAGTTTCTATGCGTAAACAGTTTCTCCCACAACTGCAGCTCACGCAATTACTTAGCGACATTTTTGAAAGCTTTTTTTTTCAGTATGCTCTCTATCCCACATGCTTCATGTATGCAGCTAACAATAAGATATGCCAACTCAACGCGCATGCATATTGATGGAGAGTGTACATAACATGATTTTCATGCTAATTTCACGCTCAATTTCTTTGAAAGTGGTGTCACTCATCGTCGAACTCGAAAGTATTTGTGAAACTTACTGAATAAGAGCAATTACGGATTCGGCTTTGTTTGCACCATCGATAGTGAAGAACACAGAATTAGCCTGTTGGATCCTATGGATGGGAAAATCTTTTACGTGATGATTTACGCGAACTGTTAGGCAAGGCTGTAACCGATTCAAATCAGAATTTTGTTCAATTTCTGAAGTACGCATGTACTCGCCATTGGTCCTCGTTTATCTTGTGACTCGAGTGCACGCAGCAAAAAATCACCACGAGTAGCTATGAGACAGATTACGTCCTCTAAAGGCAGTGCACCGTGATACCAATTTTCGTTATCGAGATCCTGAATAAATCAGCTTTTCATGATGCCTTAAAGAGTCAAGTCTTCGCTAATATTAGATAACGAAAAAGTTTTCTGGCTTTTTGATATTGATTTCTGACGTGTTTTAAGCAATGAGCTATTTCGCAATCGGCCGAGTTCTGATAAGCGCGTAGTTAAAGAGAATCTCATCCTTTAAACGTATTCCCTTTTCAAGCGTGGATATCCTTCCGTGCTCACAACAAAAAGGTGTTTTGGGTATTGAAAATCTTTAGTATTTTAATGCTAATCAATTCTGCAATCAGAGGAAATTTTTCAAAATCCGAAGGGATACGAGCTTCTCACTAGTCCTATAAACCTAACGTTTTGAACCTTACCATTTCTGTACCACTTTTACATCCGTCCCTGTCCCATTACTATATGCCAGATCCCTGACTCCGTGTTTGGTTGGTTATCAGCGGTCACTTATCCCCCCCCCCCCCGTGCCAGCTTCCAGCTAGCTCAAAGTTTGCAAAGAGTCGACAAGTCAATATCAATCGTAACGATGGCCTACGACACCAGCCCAGTGACGTGGCAAGTAGCTCGGCCGCTACTTGCTTGAAAGAATGCTACTACTGTGCTTCACGAAATGCTCTTCAACACCATGGTTCTACGTAAGGAGTAGCACTGCAGAGGGTCCTTTGGTCGCGAATTATTTCAATGATTCAGGCTGGTGGACTATAAAAAAACGTCGGGTGCGTCTCGTATTCGTGAAATCAGGGGGATTGCTTTTTACAATTTTGTTTAGCCAAAGATTTGGCATATCTACGCAGAAACAGAAAACCAAGTGCTGTCTAAGTGGAATGTTTCCAAGGACAAGTGTATTTCGCATTTCATAAACACTAGTATAAGCCTTTACTTCATGCGCAACAATCGTGCCACACCAAATCAAAAAATAGCATTTATCTCGTCTTTGCATGCTAGCTTTTTGTAATTCACTATAATCGTTTTTTGAAAGTTGCTATCACTAGACAAACTTTTGCAGAGCTTGTCAATGCAAGCTCTTAAAAATCTATCGATAATATCGCTTAAGTCACATCTGTCATCTAGGAGCGGCTGAAAACCTACAACTTGAACATATTTGAAGCTAAAAACTCACTGTCATTATTTTTTCAGCAGATTCGTCAACGAAATTTGACATGTCTTTTCTCTTTCGAGCTTCGCTTCCACCCTGAATAAAAATCCAGAATGTTTGTCAAACTATCACGCAGCCGTGTATTTGCTAAAAATCGCGTGGCGTTTTTTTTTTCGCGCTCTTAGGTATTAGATTATCCCAAAAACATGTTGTTTTCGCACGCTTGATTTTGAGCGACCACGGCCTCTTTCGAAACAACATATTTCGACTAAAAACATTGTCCAGGGGAAAGGCACCTGGGTTTCTCGCCTGCAAAGTGATGAGGGGATCCTAATTAAAACACTGCCCAAGCGGCATTGCAAACGACGTCCCCAAGCCCTCCGCGCCTGCGTCGTGACCCTACTCACGAGTGAATTAGAATGGGTCCCACGCGTGTTGATGTGAGCGAGGTCTTTTTCGGGATACGGTCACGGCGCAGGCACGGAGAGTTTGGGGGCGGATTTTTCAGCCGTGAATGAATCATTTGCAGTGCAGCTTGGGCATTCCTTATTTAGGACCCCCTTATCAGTTTCCAGGCGAATCATGTGCCCAGATTTGCCTTGCCACATTGCTTTGTAACTCTCTGACGACACTCTCATACTGTTTCTACTTCTTTTTTATGCTTTTTTAGAGGACGTAGAAAAGCTTTCTTACTTGCCGTTATCTACTCGGCCCTATGCTTTTTAGAAGTTTCGATAAGTTGGAATGAACAAAGAACGGGAGAGGTGATTTGATGAGTTAGAAAAATGCATAGAAAGTCCGATGCGCAGTCAAATGCGTTTTTTGAAAAGCCAGTTTTCTACATGTGTTTTGCAGGGTGGTAATTCTTACATATCGTGCATTCCTCAGAATTGTTTCCATAGGTGCTATCAAAGTAGCTGCCCTTTGATCGTTTCTAACATGTCAAGTTGAAATAAGCGCCTCAGATTTGCTGGAGTTAACGTCTCAGAACAAATGAAAGCAGCCATGTTAATGGCACCTGTGGCAACAATTCTTTCAGACAGTCGAAGGGATACCTCCGGCGGGCATATGGCGCGAGTCTGCCACTTCGCGCTCCGGAGCCCTGCCATTTCACGCATTTTTGTGCTCCGGGGCTTTCCCAAAAGTGGCGCACCTCCGGAGCAGAGATTTGCGCGTCGCGGATAGGGGTCATATTCATTTACCGCGACGTCACGGTGACGTCACAAACAGGACGAATGGGACCCCTCTCCGCGACGCGCAAATCTCTGCTCCGGAGGTGCGCCACCTTTGAGAGAGCCCCGGAGCACAAAAATGCGTGAAATGGCAGAGCTCCGGAGCGCGAAGTGGCAATGCTTCGCTGGGAAAAGCCCGCGACCCTGCCACTTCTGCTACGGAGGTATCCCATCGACTGTCTGAGCTGGGGGATGCACATATGTACAAGTTTCTTGATTCTCGATTTGCGATAAGCACCTTCAAATCTTGGTTCAAGAGTATTCTGGAAAAGCGAAGTCACCTTAGATCAAGTCTAACACTTGTCATTTTTTACGTATGGACGCCAACTAAATGAGGCAGTTTTAATCTCTAAAGTCCCAGCTACCGATCCCCAAAAATGAGTTCCCGATTATCAAAACTCATCTTCAAAACATCAAAATGGGGTGGTTAGAAAAGAAGCATCAAGAACGGGGCAGCGAGCCAGGTGGATCAATGATATCTTGACTTTGAGAAGACGTAGTTGCTGGCAACTTAACGAGACTGCTGTTACTTACCGGAATACCTGCACCACGTACCAATCTCTCGTATTCATCAACATCATCTTCAACTTTCCTCTGAAATGTTAATCTGATTTCACAATCAAGCTGGTCTCAAATTTTGGGATAATCGTCTCACCATTCTTGCAAGTATAATATAATGAAGTTCTGATCAAGCTACCGCAAGTAATACCGTTACTGAAATAAACAAGATTGACCATAAGCAAAAATGTGGAGAGTGGCGTAGTGATATGAGGCGCCGCTATGACCAGGTCGGACCAAGGTTCGATCCGTTCCTGGGCCAACCAAGCTCTCTACCTCACGGGGATGTTGAATTGATACATGGTGAGTTGATACCAGATCTTTGTAGTCTTCTAGAGATTCTTTTGGTCAAAACATACTTTATTATGCTGAGAACAACACCAAAATGTTGGAAAATTTTCGAACAAAAGTGAACACCTATAATTCTCCTCTACAACCACTCGCCTATGGTGTGGAAGCACGGCGCGGGTAGGTCTTGGCCTATATACAAGCCAAGACTTAATTTAGGTCTTGGCCTGCCCTGTTTGCACTAAAATTCATCGTAACTTAGCAAAAAACAGGACTGCACAATTCAGACCCATCAGTGAGTCGTAATGCCAAAATAGCAGGACACGAACCATACACCGGCTAAAATCAAAAATCAACTGCTCTATTTAGAAGACATCTTAGCATCGTAGAGTGACATTCATGTATTTGGTGTTGAACAACAGGTGACGAAAACGACGATCTTTTCCTAATTTGGAAATCCTACTGGAACCTCTTTTGCAGCGGCTTAAAAAGACGAACGCCAAAAGTACTGAGAAGCACTTGAACAAGAGATGTCTGATCACTGAGATAAGGGGAAGATCTGTTTAACGCATCTGTTTCCGCCTTTGAAAATGCAAATGGTTGGATTTATGATCAATGGGCGATCATGCATGAGGTTTCGCCCTTCCCATGATGAGCCCAGCTTTTCTGATGGAATAGCGATAAAGTGTGGCAGTCGTTAATCATGATCTAATGTCGCCTTATAACCTTTCATAATGTCGCCTTATAAACCTTTCAGCATTCGTAATTAAAAGGAGGCAAGGCAGGCACTAACCCTAAGAACCTTCCTGTTACGCAAAACCGTCCTCTGCTGTGTCCGTACTGTATCAGGAGTTCAACTTGTTAACTGACTATGTAAAGTGGCATTAAAAGCGAGTTACAATTGCCTTTGAAAAACTTTACAAATTTCAACGGGTATAATAGAAGGGAGTTTATGACTTTTTCTCTCTGTCCTTCTTCATCAAGAAGTCATGAGATACATATTTTTGGCATTCAAATCATAATCATGCACCTTCTTTCTCGACCGATATGGCCATTTCGTAAGCGTAGACGAAATGGTACGAGTAATGGGAGCACCAACGAATGCATCAACGTGATGTGAACAACAGACGAACAGAAGGATGAAAAATCCTCAATGGATGATAGAGTTATTGGGCCTTTTAACCCTAAAAAGGATGCGTAAGTGAATGTAGTGTCACACTCACTCATTGATTTCGCAAAGTGTTGAAAAGAGAGATACTCAGACACTGAGATGTAATATGCATTAGCTTGCTGTTCTTATTAGAAACTACCGTCATGAGCAGTTCAACTATCGTGCTTAACACGTTTCAGACCGCGAAATCGCGCGCGGCGAAAAAGAGTGTGCTTTCACCCATTAGCCAACAAAAAGGCCTTATTCCTGAACTGTGTGCTATACCTGTAGTCAGCATGTCAGATAAGCTCCATACCCAAAGTTCTGAGTGACTTCGAAGTGTTTGAATTTTGTCGCTTGGGAAGAATTTCTCTGTTTTCTTTTAAGATAGGAGCAAGAACTCAATTTCTAATACTATCCAAAGTATCTATGTTGCACACGATATACATCTTTATTGAAACTACGGCTTTTCTCTTTCAAATGGAAGCAAAGAAAAGTTGCGACGTCGCACGCGTCGTTCGCGTTGCCGCACTTTGTTGCAACTGTTCTTCGATCTATCCTCATATCTCCTAAACAAATACCGCCAGCACAGCTTTACAGAGTCTTTGAGAAGTAGGAGCTTAGGCCTATGATTTGACAACCTTAGACTAAAAGAAACCCCACTACAAGCGTCAAAATGATCCTTCAAAGCAGCGTGCTGCACTATGTGCAACACCGGTCCGAAACGTGTTAAAAAGCCTTTTCCATTGAAACTGACCAATCCTAAATGGCAAGGCTTTTGAAATGAATAGTTGCTTACAGCATTTTAAACATCTTATCTTTTTTGTCAGCATTATTCGGTTAGGTTCAAAAGATTTTTTTCATGCGTAAGCAGAGGGAGGACAAGTTAGTATGCTCGACTATCTGTTAACGATCATGTAACTTCAGCAAAGCTATTCGGGAGAGCTGATATTCCTGCCGCGCTCGCGAGGCTGAATTATGCAATTTAGCCTCTCTTCTACGCAAAGTAACAAGCTGGCCGCTAGCTTACCATGCTCGCGGGGTTGCAAAGAGTGTCAAATAGGCATCGTTCGGCAAGCAACTTTCGCATAATAATGAGCAGCGAAGCAGAGATGACGGATTGGTTATTGTAATCTTTAGAGCATCACTGTTTTTTTGTGAAAGGTTTAGAGTGGCTAGATGTAACAAAGATGGCCAGAGCGAAAGAGAACTACCATCTCAGTCTACGGCTAAGCGCTCTCGCAATACTGCAATGCATCTTCTACAATTCTAAAAAGCGACCATGCCTTCACAGTAGTTCCTTCTCTTATCAAAGAACGTTGAGAAATCTTTAACAGGTTTAGAACGTTTCAGTACAGTGTCTTGATCGCGATTAAAGGCAGCGTCCCACCAGAATAGGGATACCTGGCCTAAGCGATGACAGAAGTTTGCAGCGCGAAAGGGGGTCTACGAAGTCTGAAAATTGCCCCCAAGTGGCCCGGATCTTACGGCAGGCTCGGGCGAGTACGAGATGCATGCAAGGTAGAGACGCACAGTCGTTGGGACCCTGCAATCATGCTGTGTATGCTATGCGTGCTCTGGCCTTGTAGTTCAAAATTGATCTGTGGGCGGCGTTCGACCCTACCGTAAAATTTGGGCCACTTGGAGGGGGGGGGGGGGATTTGTAGACTTCGTAGACCGTTTTTGCGCTGCAAACTTTTGCCGTCGCACGATAATTCTTCCTTCTGACACGCTATGGTACTACATTAATACCAGAGCCAGGTACCCCCTCCCCAATCTGGTGGGATCCATTCCGCATCCAAAGCTCGCAGAGGTCTGCGAGCTTTGGATGCGGAATGAGTCGTTTTGACAATACTATCTTGAATGAACCTTTCCTGCGCATGACATCGGTGGCAGCACATAAGTATTTGTTTGGCTCACCTGATTCCACTGTCAAGGCAAAGCGATAGCAAGTATATGAAATTCCACGATAGAATGCTTCCTTCTGACACTTCGCCCAACCACCCGCTGCCAAGAAATGTCGAAATAAATGTGAAATAAGGAGATTCTGTTCTTTTATACCCAGCGATTGGTTGACAACATTCGTCGAGATCCGTCATGGAGATTCGTGGATTTTGGCGGTCGCAAGTTCGTGGACAACGTTCACCAACGTTTCAAAAAATTTGAATCAGATTGAATTCAAAATGTATAATCGAGCCATTTGTTATAGGCCGTCCGCGCAGGGCGCGGAGAGTGCGCAAGGTGTGTATTGCGCGTCACTCCTCTTTCCCCATGCACTCTCGCCGCCTGTTTTTCTCTGCGCTTCTTCTATCTTTGACGGACGCAACAGCGTTGCTCTCCGCGCGCAGCGCGGACGGCCCATAGCATGGCATTGCACGATACGCGCTCTACTTTATGATTTTCATAATAAAGAAGCTGCCAATTTTCACCAAGCTTTCCTCGTTTTTTCCGCTCCTTTGGCATTGAGTAACTATCAAATAGTACACATTCAAGCAGTTTCGTTAGAAAGGTTCAGACCAACTATAAAGAAAGTGAGTTGCCGCGGGCCGTGTCCAGATTCTCATATCAAGTCTCAGATATTTGCCCATACATCTTCATATGTACTGTATTAAAAAAATTTTTCCTTTAATCTTCGTTTGATTCTGAATAACCACATGGAACATGAGTAGTCTCTTGACTAGGCACAGGTATCATCTACAACAAAGTGAATATATCACGAAAGAACATCTCGTAGTAAAAGTAATTCAGTGTGGTAGTAAGAAGGCAAGTTCGGAAGAGATTAGGGCCTGAAGGGCAAGATATGGACGTGAAGACTGCAAATTAATTTTTCCCAATCATTGCTAGACTTTTCCAATTCTTGCATCTCTGATAGAGACCACCTCATATTTTTGGAAATGTTTGGTAGGGTTTTGACTTGAATATCATTTGGTATGCACCCAAGTTTTTATCACTCAGTGGTTTCATCACTTTGTTGCAGTGAGGTTAGAAATTTTATTGATAGTCATGTAAAAAATATGCATCCTTTTCCCTGTCTCCTGACAGGTTGTAGGGCATGAACAGACTCTCAAAGCACATTTTCCAGGTGTGGTAATTACTCACCTTCCTCTTGGCAGATTTAATCTATGAAATAAATGAATAAGCCATAAGGCACTCCTCCATTCTTATACGCCTTTTTGAAAGACAAAGTTATTCCCTATTTTCAGGAGTTTAAAGCGGGGTGGTCCTAGCTTACATTGACCAGCCCGAACACATTAAAGGACCTGGCGACCAAAGGACCCTACTCGTGCTGGTATTGCCTGAAAGAATTGTGCGGCATAAGGATCGCTTCTCGAAACACAATAAAGCGGCTGAGCAGCTCGTGGGAAGTTCAAAAGGCTGGCTTATACACCTGGAAATAGGGTGTTTATCTTTGCCGCTATATAAACAGCACATTCATATCGGTAATAGTCCACTTTCTTCACAAAGGTGTTTATCTTTGCCGCTATATAAACAGTACATTCATATCGGTAATAGTCCACTTTCTTCACAAACGTCCCAAGCAAAGATAAGTGCGAGTATTTTTGCCGCCCTCTAGCAGTAAACTTTTTGCGAATTGCTCTTTGATGCGTCAGGTATCGAAACGAGTCATAGATGGGTCAAACCGAAAATATGCTGTGGCATCAAGTAGCTGTTTTTGGCAGCATGCTTTCGGTTTTACCTCTGTCATTTACTGGTT